GGATGGGGGCGATTTTTTGTGTACGGGGGGGGGGGTGGGAGCAGTAATTAATTAATAATGTTCACGACCCCCTCAGTAATTAATTAATAATGTTCATGACCCAATCAATCATAGCCCTCTTTATGGCTCTGATCAAGCCACGCTGGGCAAGACTGACTGATTGATTGCTTGATTGATTGATCAATCGATCGATTGATCAATCGATCAGAGCTATCAGATGACAGTTCTGACCAGCCCTCCACCCCTATTGCTTGATTGCTTGATTGCTTGATTGATCGATCAATCAATCAGAGCTATCAGATGACAGTTCTGATCAGCCCTCCACCCCCGCTGGTTGGAGGGATGGCCAGTCAAAATCCAGTATAAAGACCAAAGAATAAAATAAAATAAAGAGAGAGGAGAAAAGGGACCTTGAATTATTGTCCATTCAAAATTTAGCACCTGGAAAGCAGATCCACCATTCATTTTGTCACATTTTTCACCACTGTGGTATTTTATTTCTTTTTAAATTACAGTAATTATTTTTAAATTGCATATTTTGTTTTCTTTTTTTGTTGGTCTCTATGAGGCCAGCATGATCCTACTACAGTGGGAAGCCTAGTCCAATAGACTTGATATAGGTAATCACTAATAGTACTAAGTTCCATGTTTCTTCTCCTCTACCTCACCCTGTAATCTACCAATACTTTATTCTTGCCATATCACTTTTGTAACACACACAAAACTGGGAAAGAGGCAAGAATTGTAGTCTGTTCTTCTATAAACAACAATACACAATAATTTAGATGGCTAATAAGTAGCCAGTTTGTCTGTTTCTATATAAACAAATAGTAATAACACCTACAGCCAATAAGCAATACAGGCAGCAAGTAGTTGTGACATGTTTATTCAGTAGAAGGAGGAAATAATAATGGCAAAAATCCCACAACTTGCAATTGCCGGCATGTTCATCTTTCACAGTCTATGACAGAAATGTGCACCAAAGCACAAGGATATGCTTATGTGAAATAATCTGTAGGATGTTTTGTAGCACAGTGGGCTGACATGTAATACACATTAAAGAAGCAGCAACAGAAAAGAAAGGCTGGCCGCCACCAGTGTACGTGCTTGTTGTCCACCTGATATCTCTTTGATCATGGCTCTTCTCCATGTAGCCCTTGTTATTCTTCATGCAAGGTAATTTGGCCAATGCATATTTTTCTTCAGCTGAATTCATAAAAGTTTTCAGGTGCATGAACACCAGCATCCAGAACATGGTGAATCCCTCCAACCTCTGAATTTGAGAACACTATCTGACTATAAAGAGTAAACAAAAATATGGAAAGACAAAGCAAGTTATTTGTTATGTAACATCAAGTTGCATCTTACTTATGGCAACCCTAATAGGATTTTCAAAGTATGTGAGATGTTTAAAAAGAGGTTTAACCAGTGCTATTCGTGCCCCCCTGCTGAGTTTCCTGGCCAAACAAGGGTTTAACCCAGATATCCTGTGTCCTGGTCCATTACACTATCCACTACACCACACTTACGTAGATCAATCTAAGATAGGCAGATAGATTGATGTACATAAGAATATATATATTTATGTCATTTGTAAATATTACTTCAACTACTTCCAGAAACTATCATTTTATAATTTCTTTAGGAAAGACCAAGCATCTTCCCCAGGAACTTCTGTGAGCTTAAGATGGTTGCTAGGAAGAACTACATATGGATGAGCAGGTTGAGTTGGGTTTTTATTTGTTAAGCAGCAGACCCTCTTCCCATCTTACAACCGACTTCTGAAATCTCTCTCTCTTTCAATATGTGTTTGTCAGGCTTGCATCCTGCTTTGCCTCACCTGTCTGGCCCAAGGTGCCCTGAGGTGGGGGCAGCTGTTTGAGACACATGGAGCTAGTTATTTGCTTCTCTGAATTCTCATCTATAAACACACATACACAGAACAAAGTTCCTAAAAGGCCAATCTACTGTATATGTGGCACTGTGACTCCGATCCTACTTCACTTAGGTCTTACTTTGAAGTGGTTTAAATGTTCGGAAGAGAAAGCTCATAAAGAGAACCAGAGAATACAAGAGTGGCTCATATGGAAGCTTGGGTCTCATTAATGGCAGATAATTTCAGCTGTCTGGGAAATGGAATGCAGGATGAGGCCGAAATATCACTGTGTTTGCCAAGTTTGTTCAGGCCTGGAACAATGAACTTGGATGGGAAATAGATCCTTAATTTTTCGCCCCCTGGAAGTTATTAATTTATACCCCTTGGAGGATCCTTATACATAGACAGGACATAGGGGTGATGTCAACTCCCAAAAGAAACAAGAGCTGCACCCCCTCCCTCATATTGTGCACCAATCAGGAGCTAACTTTTAGCTTACAGCTAAGGAAGAGGCAATGAGGCCAGTTAAGATGACAGAAAATTAGGGGAGTCAATAGAAAAAAGTCACTGCACCCAAGTGAAAAAAGCATTTTCCTTCCGTCTTTTTTTTAGTTGGCTTTGGTTCTTGATTTTAGCTGCTCTGAGGCATTCAGACATTAGCAGCAGTAATATGTAATAGTAGAATGATGGTCTTGTCCACTCTTCTTAAAATGGAAGTAGAGAAGAGTGAATAGAAATTACCTTGTAGCATTGTTCATCTTTTGCTTCTTGTGTAGATGCCCTGCAGGATATTTAAAGTAACAATCACCTTAACAGTCAAAAGGCATTTGATTGTTAGATTAAGAGTTAAATAAATATGCAGACATTTTGAAACAGCACTCTCTTCTACTTCTTCTCTTCAAAAAGTTGCATTATACAATGAGCCCATCCTGTCTTGTTGCTTATTTTTCTGCCATGGCTAATTAATTATACTAATGCTTTTAGTGTGACGAGACAGGGCAATCCACAGGATAACGTAGATGGCAGGGTGGAGACCTTTAACCCTGACTTTTCACTACTGCCCCTTGTCCTCAGACATACTGCCCCAGCGGCAAGAATGGCATCATGCTTACTTTGGTTGATATATATTGACACATCATTTTTAAAGCATTTAGCAAACTGAATCCTTGTGTAGGCAGAATAAATCAGATGGGGCATGGTGTGCAAAGAAAAGGAAAAGAAGCTGATCACTGTCTACTGCTTCAGATAAATTAATACTGTGCTTTATCTGCCTGGTCAGCTGCAGTATAAAGGTGTTCACTGCCCTGCTGCTGATTCTATGCAATATTTGGGCATTGAGTTACAACTTGGAAATGTTACTGTTTTGAATGCAATTCCCAGAACAAGGCTAATTTATCACCTCTGTAATTACTAATACATCAGTATCAGCAACATCCAACCTAGCTCTGTCTTGGGCAGCTAATTTTAAGTGCTATACAAAGGCAGCACATTGTTAGAGTTTATATTTATAATGTATGTGCATGTGTGTTTCTTCCAGGGACAGGCATGTGTGTGATTCTCTGCCCCAGGTACCAAAACAACTGGATTCAAAGATCTATCTATGTATGGCAGGAGACACCATGTGCCATTCCACATCAGGCAGAAAAATGTCTCAGGTGGGCATCAGCACAGCTCCACCAAGAACGAGTGAAAAGAATATTTCAGATGTTTCAGCTTTAAGATCAACCTGCCCTAAGAGGTGTTCCACCCTGTTTTGTCCTTTTGATAGTATGAGGAAAAAAGCAGAAATAATTTGCAAGCATGCAATAAAACGTACACTTTAGTAGCAGCAGAGTCACAATTACTAATAATACCGCACATACTCCACAGCCAACAAACAGGCTTGTCCAGGAAGGTTCTTCTTTCCTCTCATGTTTCATCCGTGTGGAGAAATAGAAAGAAACATTCTGCAGAAACATAAAAATACAGCAACATCATACCGAGCAGAAACAGTCTGGAGAGCTTGTATGAATCTAAGGCAAGAATGCATCTTTACATGTTATACATTTCTTTCAGACAAGCTAGTCAAAGGAACTGAATACAAAATGGAATTAATTATGTTTTAAAACTACATTTCACCAGACTTCAACCTTCTTTTCTGCTTTGCCCTCTGCAAGCATATGAGGCATGCATGGAGTTATTAAAGAAAATGAAATGCCTTTTTCTGGTGCAAATTGTAGCTTGCCTAGGTTCTCAGAATAATTTTCTGAAAGGAGTGAAAAAGGCAACAGCCTTGTGACAAGGCATGTGAATCGTTTCATGGCAGGCATGCAGCTAGTAATGAAACTACTACCTTGTTAGCAACAATTCTACATGGTACTTTTTATAACTCAAAAGGTTGTAAAAGGTATCATGTAGAATTGCTTATATATTCTTATATACCTTGAGCTTATAAATCACCAGTAAGATTCTTCCTACTATGTTTGCATAGTCTTATTATTCATGGGAAATCATATTATCTAGTATATTGACTATTCCAAAACAGATAGTATGTGTTAGCCTAAGAACTCAAATTCAGCTTTGCTTTTTGTTTTTCAAAAGCATAGTTCACAATAGATAAGCTTAATATGTTGGATCTTGCCAGATGAAATCTAGGGAATCATGAGGGACAGCAGGATTCCAGAGAAAGCAACACATTACTGGATTTTCCCCCTAATACTTCCCCATGGTCAGAAGAAGCAGAATAAAAAAGGTGAAATAAACCACTTTGTGCTAATTTGTTCAATTTGCAACCCCCCCCCAAGAATGGGTTATTTGTTTCTTAAAGCAAGAAATCAGACAGTCTGTACTAAATTGTTAATTTGCTTATGAAATGCATTTATACACTATTTCATCAATGACATGTTCCCAAACTAGTGGGAGCCAAGAGCATAGAAAGAAGATGCATATCCCATCCTATACTGTATTACAAATCCTGCTCTAAGAGCTGTTGGTCTTATTAAGGTGATAGCGTGCTGACCTTGTCAAAGAAAAAGTTTATAGCCACTCATGAAAGCCTTCACGAATACATCTTCCCTTCCTCTTTACCAGTCTCAATAAAGGGAGACTAGTAAGTTAGTTATATGCCATCATGTTGAAAATGACTTATAGTGACCCTAACAGAGCTTTCAAGGTAACTGAGAAATTTTACCAGCTCCACTCCCCAGTGAGCTTCTGTAGCCAAGTGGGGGTTTAAACCCTGGTCTCCAGTGTCCTGGTTCATCAATACATCTTCCCTTCCTCTTTACCAGTCTCAATAAAGGGAGACTAGTAAGTTAGTTATATGCCATCATGTTGAAAATGACTTATAGTGACCCTAACAGAGCTTTCAAGGTAACTGAGAAATTTTACCAGCTCCACTCCCCAGTGAGCTTCTGTAGCCAAGTGGGGGTTTAAACCCTGGTCTCCAGTGTCCTGGTTCATCACTCTGTTCACTGTACCACCCTGGGTTCCACAGAGGTAGGCTGGGATATTAAAAAAATGCTATGTGTGTAGGATTACATGACTGTCACTATAAAGTGCCCAGGTCTTGGTAGTCCCTCTAGAACAGTGATTGGTCAGCCATATGATGCTATGGCAGTATAGCCCGTGCCCAACAGAACTCAGAGTGTGAGGACTTAGGCATGTTTCCTTCTACTAACACTGCATCCATGAATAGCTATCTATACAGTAAAACCTTTTAAGGCACTAAGGGCTGCCAGTCTTCACAAGGACTCAAGGAACAGAAGCCCTTTTGGGTTCTGGATGGTCTAAAACTGCCACTTACCACACAGACCAAAGATGTATCAAGATAATAGAATTATGAAGTTGGAAGGGGTCTATAAGGCCATCATGTCCAACCCTCTGCTCAACACAGGAGGGGTAAACCTGTTAAGGGCATTGGACTACTATGGATCTTTCCTGCACTCATTCAATCTGCTCACCTTGAACACAACAGAACAAAACATCATAACATTTCCACGTCAGTTGCCAAAGAGACAGTGGAGCTACTTACATCTGGCTGAGATGCTGTACTAGGCATCCATCTTGGTTCCAAAATAAAATAAGATTCACTGAAGTCTATCAGGGCTGGAGTTGATGAAACTAAAGCAACATATCCATTAGTACAACCCATCATGTTTCTTGCAGAATCCTCTGTGTTTCTGCACACACAGTGTAAATAAATAAACGAAAGAGCCCCCATCATTTGAATAAATTATGATTTATATTTATTAGATGTTAGTCACATCTATATGCCATTAGTCCAAGGCATGATACATAGCTCTCCTCTCTTCCCCCTTTGTCCTCATTGCAACCCTGATGGTAGGGTAGGCTGATGGATTGTGCATTGCCCAACAAATTTTATAGCTCAGTGGGGATGTGAAACCGGATCTCCCAAATTTCAGTCCAAGAACTCTAGCCAGTGTGTGAGTGACAGTGAGTCTCTCTAAATTAAGGATGTGAAGAATACTGAGCAATTTCTTTGTTGTTATGATTTAGCCTGTGTAAGTCCATAGTGTTGGCCTGTATTCACTGAGACCAAATCCAATAAAAATAAATAAATCTGAACAGATTATTGGCTTAATGTATCTGTTTGAAATGACAATGGGACTCTCTTTCTCCCACCTTTCCTGCAACATCTATTTGACTTGTTATATTTTCCTCCTGCCTTTCCTCAGGCTTACTCTATTTTATCCTCCGAACAACAACTCTGTGAGAAGTTTAGCTGGAGACAAAATTGTCTTGAATGGAAATGAGTTCCTGAAATCCTATGAAAATGCTGATGCTGTTGAAGAACCAATGGGAATGCTAAAATGTGAGAATACCAGGAAGGAACCTATAGCTGTGCTACTTCCCTCTTGTACTACTGCATTTAAAAGAGAAACTTTAAAGAAGTTTCACTTCTTGGTGTAAGAAGAAATGCAACCCAGTGTCTATTGACTTTCCACATTACAGGCAGATCTGAAAATGGAACTGATACTACTATTTTTTTAAAGAACATACATTATATTAATAAAATGTAGTGAAACACAAGGGGCAACATTTGAAACTATAGCAACAATTGAAAGAAATGAGTGTGAATCATCTATCTTGACACTCTTCCTGAGTGCTGAACAAGTACAGAGGGCCACAATCCTTTGGAAGTGGTACAGAAGAAAATTCTTCCCTCTATACCTGATAAATTCTTCAAGATCTGTATGGCAATATTTAAAAGAATGACTATTTTATATTGAAATGCATTGCTTTTTCATTGAGAAAATGAAGTTGTAAAAACTGACATTCTAATTGGACTCCAAAGAAATTTTAGTGCTGTTCAACAGAAGAGTAAAAGCACAGCAATACCAAGACAGTTGTACCAACATGATATAGTGATTAGTTGTGGACTTAACAGATGTAGGGTTTATGTTTGTATTTGAGTTATAAGTCACTAGATAACCGCAGATCAATCTCAGCTTGACTCACCTCACAGGATAGGATTGCTGTGAAAATGAAGTAGAGAACAAGGGAGCAAATGTGTTACATATATAGGGGCAGCTCATGGACTATGGAGGGTGGCACTTCATCCCAACATGGGGGTGGAGTGGTTTATAAGAATCCTTTTATTCTACTCAGAGCCAGGGTCCCTCAGAAACACATAAGTACTGATCCTCATATTGAGTAGGATTACATAATTATTGTAGAAATAGAAAAGTGAAATTGGAAGGGGCCTACAAGGCCATCAAGTCCAACCTCCTTCTCAACATTGGAATACGATAAAATCATATCTGCCAGGTGATTATCACCAACTCCCAAGGTAACTGGTTCCACTGTTGCACTGCTCTAACAGTTAGGAAGTTTTTCCTGATATTCAACCGAAATCTGGCTTCCTTTAACTTGAGCCCATTGCGCGTCCTGCTCTCTCGGATGATCGAGAACAGATCTTATCTCCCTTATATATCTGAGCCCATTGTTGCGTGTCCTGCTCTCTCAGATGACCGAGAACAGATCTTGTCTCCCTTCTATATGACAGCCTTCCAAATATTTGAAAAGTGTTATCATATCACCCCTCAGTCTTCTTTTGTCCAGGCTAAACATGCACAATTCTTTCAGCCTTTCCTCATACGGCTATCATTAGCCTTAACAGATTATCACTGTTCCTCATTTTTCCCCTCTCTCTTTCTTTTTTATTTACAGCTCTCAAGAGACAAGGAAAACAATGTTGTGAAGAGAATGAATGTGATAATCTTAATTCCCTCCCCTTCTTGACACTCGTACGAAGTTAGGTTGAGGATTAAATGTGACTCTGTGGCTTCAGTTCACCAGCCCTTATATAAAGAGTAGGAACTGTTTTTCAGACCGTATTGAAGCGGCAGGGTACTCCATTGTCTTCTGAATAACAACAACAAAATATGTACACCAGTTACCATGTTCAAGTCCACTTCCATGTGGGTCAGATATGTTATGTGGCTGCCACACATCCCATGGCCAACATTTTTATGTACCAAGGAAGCTGTGCATTCTTTCCAGAAAACAGACTCTGGCTGCTTTTTAAGACTCAGCAATGAAGCTTAACACTCCTCTGCTCATAGCGCCCCCTTCCTTTTTTTTTTAACGGGTGTTGTGAAGTGCCTTTTAACTAGCAACAATTCCTCCAATCAGACTGTGTATGACACTCAGTCATCATGGCCACTGGGGAACTGCTGTGAGTTAAAGTCCAAAAAATTAACTTTTCTAAGCGTGATGTAGTGTTTACTTGGGATTCCAGCCCCTGGCCAGGCTGTTCAACTGATAACAATTTAACGCAGAGCAAATCCTAGAAGTAAAATTAAGCAGATGGTGAAGCTTCTAATTTAACCTCTTGGGTGAAGGGAATGTTATAAAAGTATCTAGTATCAAGTATATCATTCATGCCACAGAACTATTGTGTGAAGCCATCCCATGACAGTACAATAGGGACCTACTTTTTATGGACCAGGCTGCACATACACATTAGAAAGATGAAGCTGGAGATTAAGAATAAAATTTTCCTTTTAAAGAGACCAGGGTTACTCTAAAAACTCATGATCTATCCATAAACATACCTGGTGCTGCAGATGAGGTTGTCTCTGAGTTCCCTGCGAAAGAAATTGGGCAGGTGGGCAGTGTCATTGCCATCACACTATATTCAACATAATTCTTGACTATGTCTGTTTCAGGAACACACTCAGAAAGCACAAATAATGCCTTACAATATTTACTGATATTTGATCTTGCACCTAAAGGGATAGCAACAGATCATGGTGAATACCCACCAGCTGCTGCCAACCTAGTGGTGATCTTTACGCCATCACCTAACACAAATCTTTCCATTTTATCCAAGGTCTTTTTTTCTTTTTGTTCATAGATCAACAATTGGACCCTGGGGAAACTAAACTGCCATCCAGGAGAGCCTGGCAATATCACAGCACATTGGTCCCTAACAAAATGCAGTCAAACAAAATTGAGGTAGGACTGGGCATCTTGATCTTCTTTAGCTTTGTAAATTATTGCCATTAGGCCACTTCCCCCTTCTCTGGGGAAGCAAGTTTACTTCTTTGTTCTACTTTATCTGCAAAGGAGGATAAGGGCATCAGAATTTGTCTCCACTGCAGTTATCTTACACACATGGAAACTCTAGTAATGTATGTACTTACACATAGGTTATATCCTGAATAGATTTTTTTCAAGCATTAGATACAAGGTGGGTTTCCCCCCTTTTTACCTCACCAAGAGCATCCTGTGAACTCCTAATTCACAGCCATAAGCTCACCATACTAGCCCGCTGCATCCTGCTGCTATAGTTACCACAAATTCTTGCAAAAAGGTTCTCTTTCGACTGGTAACCAGCAATTCTGCTCTGGAAATCTGACTAATTCCTATGGATCAGCTGGGGGCTTGGTATGTCAAAGTGGCTATTCAGGATGGCATTGTCAAGGAGCTGCAGAAAATACTAGTTCAAAGAAGATGAGTGTATGGCAGCAAAAGAGGAGGGGCTTCATTCAATTCTGTGAGTTTGAGAATGTGTAATGGTAGATGAAGGGAATGTGATGACTGGAACATTCAGTTCTATGGAGTCCTCTGGGATGTTGAGTTGCCTTACCAGATCCAGACAAAACCCCATCAAGTCAGGAGCTGACTGTGATACTGACCTTTCATCTGCCTATTATAATTCAGAGCAATTCTTTTTACCATCATTTTCAAATATGCATAATCATTCTTTAAAGTACCTGTGTTGGGAGAGGAAGGGTGATGCAACCTGAGAAATGCTATCTGGGGTTGCGAGTCTACATACTAAAGACTCTAAATCTGGTTACTCAAAAGATAAACAATTTGTAAATTATTAAAAATGGCTGGAATCCTATTGATACTCATGTGCATAACTTGTCACTACAGCTAAGGTGTATCTCAGTCATGTCCCAGCTCATGTACCCAACTTCACTACTGAGATGTATCTGTATGCCTTATTAAGTAGCTGCAGCATATTTACACAACCCTTACAGAAAGATCAGTAGGTTTCTGAGGTTGCTCTCAATTATAATAGGCAGATGAATATCAGTATCACAGCCAGGTCCTGCTAGAAAATATTTCTTTGTGTAACATAATGAGCCAGCATATATCAAAGTGTTTTGCTTACCCTTCTCGATGACAACTTCAACATTTGTTTTCTTATCATTGAACCAGCCTGATATCTCCACGCGGCAACAGTAAGTTCCTGAATCTTTTTCAGTTGTGTTCACAATGGTTAGAGACACATCTCCTTGATGAATGTCTCCCAGTAGAAGGTATCTGCTGGACGTCCCGTGTATTTTCAGCTGTGCATCGGTATGGACAATGGTCTTGGAACAGAAAGAGTAAGGACATTTCCCTTGTCCCCAACATATAGTTGTTATACCATGTTGATTAGTGGAATAATGACATGGTAAAGTGATGTTTTGACCCACTTTTCCTTTAATGGGAGTCTGAACACCTGCTGCCAAGAAACCTGTACAGGAAAGGGACAACAATTAATGAAAATGAATGAGAATGTGCAAATAGTGGCAATACCTCTATTTCTAAGACATTCCTATCTTAACAACTTTGTCCAAGTGTAACATCAGGGCAATTTGCCATTTGAAATTATTCTGCCCTGGCACATATTCATACATCTCAACCCAGAAAAGGGAGAGAGAAAACCTTAAAGCAGATATGTACAAAAATGTTGATACAAAAAACATGCAACTTTTTCTTGTCAAAACACTCAAGCAAATAGTTTCTTCTTAAGTTGCATACAGCTTAACTACTTGAGCAGAAATTCTCATTTTATACACATCAATGGAAGCTCTGCTTCTGATATGTTTGACATGATTTAGGAAGTGACATAACATTTTTCCCTGATGGGTAGTCTTTTGTGAATAATCGATCTAGGTGACTAATTGAATGGTCCAGTGGTGGCAGCAAACCAGCTGCTATAGGATTTGTCCTTTGATGGGATGACACACGTTGTGATATTTCCTCTAGTTTTGTGCTCCAAGAAAGAGTAATTCTGACTCACCTCAAAACAGTAATAGTCAAAACTGTGAAGATGAGTAATGTGTTCTTGGAGCACAGTGCAAACATCAGGCATCTGTGTGATCAGATTACAACTGGTAACCACCAAGCGACTTCCCACCAGTGCAAATGTCATGAGATTGTGCTCTTTCATTTCTGATTGACCAAACTTCGCTTAGTAAGAACGCGAATAGCATGCACACTTCCATCTGCTATTCACATAAGCAAATGGGATGGGCAAACTTGTTGTGATCCTACAGTTGTCACCAGATTACAATGTCCATCCACCTTCCACCATTGACTTTGGAGGCTAAGGCTAAAAGGAGTTGCAGCAGACCAATAGCCAGAAAGCCAGAAGCTGCCCAGCCCCTTGCCAGATCGTGGCTAAGTTTCCCCATTGCATCGTTAAGGGAAAAAAAGGAACTTTTATAGACATTTTGAGAACTGCCATTCCTCATCTGCCTAATTCAGGATTGGTAGGAGTAGGTGGAAAAATAAAATATAAATCATAGTGGTGATTTAACATTATTTATACTTCCAATCACTGGCTCTTTGGGGATAGTTTTTAAACTGCAAATTTTTATGACTCTTTTTTACATATGCTTATATATATTTAATAGTGTCTCTACTTATTGTTAGCTATTTTGGGTACTCTGCTGAAGAAGGACAGTGTATAAATTCCATACATAGTCATAGTCAAGACAAAATCCCTCTAAAATGAATCTGTTTGGAATTTTGGGGTTTGGTGTCACCAGTATGTGGATGACACCAAACCTCTCTCTCTTTTCCATATAAATCTGATGAAACTCTTTCAGTTCTTGACCAGTGACTGGTGTTAGCAATGGACTGGATGAGGGTGAATAAACTGAAACTTAATCTCAACAATACAGAGGTGTACCCTTGTCAATTAAAAGGCAGATCAGAGAACAGGGATAAAGTGTTCTGAATGGGGTTAGACTCCCTCTAAAAAGCAACTTGGGAGTGCTCCTGGATTTGTCTCTGAACCTGTATGCCCAGGTTTTAGTGGTGGTCAGGAGTGCCTTTGCACAATTAAGACTAGTGTGCCAGCTACACCCATTCCTGGAGAGGTCCAATCTGACCCTAGTTACATATCAGCTGGATTAGTGTAACACACTGTACGTGGGGTTGCCTATGGAAAGTGTCAGGCAACTTCATCACGTGCAAAATGCAGCAGCCAGGTTGCTAACTGAGGCACACAACCCCTCTGTTACAGCAGCTCCACTGGCTGCCGATCCATCTCTGGGATGAATTCAAAGTCCTGGTTGTAACCTATAAAACCCTAAATAGTTTGGATGCAAGCTGTCTCAAGGAACACATCTACCTCTATGAGCCTGTGCGGATATCAGGGGAGGCCCTTGTCTCTGTCTCACCACTCTCACAGGTGCACTTGGTGGGGGCACAGGAGGGAGGACCTTCTCTGTTGTTGCTCCCAGACTTTGGAACTCCCTCCCACAGGAGGTCAGGCTGGCCCCATCTTTGCTGTCTTGCCATAATCAGGTGGAAGATCTTTCTCTTGAGTCACTGGCTGCCTGAGTGGGATTTTAAATGAATTGCTGTACCTTACTGATTTAAATGTGTTTTGGTGTTGCTTCTGTTTTTTAGTATGTTATTTGTTTGGTCCTTTTTGTATTTGTATAATCACCACTATTAGCTTTAAATGCTATCGTTTAATGACGTAAGCCACTTTTGTTCCTTTTTAACGAAAAAAGCAGAGTAAATATATTTTAAATAAATAATAAAGAAGCATGCAGGTTTACTAGCACCTTGCTTTCTTTGCTTGCTTGTTATTTCACTGAAGAAACAGTTTTGTTATCAACACTGGTGCAATAAATGAAAATTATGCAAATTATAATGTACACCATTCTGTTGCAGAGATCTAATTTATAACAAGCAATCAGAAATGAAGGGCTATCCATCAACCAGTTAATGAATTTAGCTCTAGTCCCAATAAATAATAAACTATACATCTGTCTCATTATCATAACAAAAGCATTCTCTGTCTCATAAAAATATTGTTGCACCAATTAGAACATTTAAAAATTAATATCAATATCAATTAGAACGCTATTGACAGCTGTCAGACGTAGATGCTAAATTAGTCTCCTATGATCTTCAAAATGTATAGATGCACAAATAATATTGGCACATGTATTTTCTATTATTCATGCATCTCAGTCCTACTCAGAAATAAGTAAATAAATTGCTAACATACTTGGCACCTCAGCTGTAAGAGAAATCACAACTCTGATCTTAAAGTTGGACTATCTCTTCCACAGATACTGAATAATCACATTATAGCAATGACTTTGCAACAATATTATCCACTATTATTTACAGTATAAGACTTTTAGACTTTAGTTACCTGTGAACACCAGCTGTAAAATCCAAATTCCAGTTAAATAAGGAAACATGGTGTAGGCTGAGACAACAACAGAAGACTGCTGTGTTCCTACCACGGCTAGTCATTTCTGAAAGAAGTGTCTTGACTTCTCTAATTTCTGACATGCATCAAGTGTGACATCAACCCCAGCAGCACACAGCACCAATTTAACTTAGCAGTTCTTCCTTCCTGTAGTTATTTCATGTTTTTCTATACTGTCCACTGCTGGTGAGTGTTTAATGAAGCTGCACAGGACAAAACCAAAATTTCCTCATTGCTTTGTGCTGTGCATATGGAATTTTCCTGATTGCTTTAAAGTTCTCAGTATGAAATCAGGGACCCTCTAACTGTGTACCCTTCAGTTAAAATTTTCCATTAAAAGGCAACCACTCAAAAGTCACCAAGACTCCCTAATTATGACAGTAAATTAGGTTTTATCATGCACACACCTGACTCAACTTTTTTAAAAGCCAGACTAATGGCCCTGACTTTTTAACTCCAGTGGTTAGGATCCTGCTGAGCTTCCTGCTGCTAAATTGGAAGTCCCACCAAGATGGTAATGCTGCATTGCACTATTTGTGCAAGTGTTGCTGTTGCATGGGTAGTGACCTCTGAGGAGATTACCTGTCTGCTGCTTGTGCAATTCCAGCACTCACACCAGTGGCATGATCCCACATTAATACACTGCTGGGACTTTCTGCTTAGTGAAAGCTCACTAGATTTGCTACCCTCTGGGCACAAGAATCCATGTGGTCTTCATTGAGTCCATGGTATTTTTCCACATCAATAAGGGTTCCTCCATTCACTGCACCCATGGCAGAAGTTAATGGGTGCAGAATACTACATCATGTAGCCACTCTGGGTTCCTTTATTGGGAGAAAGATGGGGTATCAATAAAACATATGAACAAATCAATATGAATACTGCCATTAAATTCACCTCAATGCCAGGGGCATCTAGCGCATAAAGATGCAAGTACTGAAAATCCAGTATTTCATCCTCATCTGAAAGTGTTGAATATGTTGAAAAATCATGATTTAATGCTTGATTAAGTAATGCAATAGTCCTTCAATTTTGTTAGCCAACCATACTTTTTACTAGTCAACAATGGTTTGTTGTTGTACTGTATTTTCCACCTGTTATATCTGGCTGGATAGCTCAGTAGGTTAGGTATCTGGCTGCATAGTCAGAGGTTGGGAATTTGATTCCCCTCTGTACTTCCTATGAGTAGAGCCAGCCTGTGTGATCCTGGGTGAACTTGCACAGTCTCTGAGCACTCCCAGAAGAGGAGGACGATAAACCACTACTGAGTATTCTCTCTCTGGAAAATCCTAAAAAAGGTTGCCATAAGTCAGCATTGACTTGAGGGCATATGATGATGATTATAGCAATCTCGGAGAAATAGCAGGTGAAGGAGGGGGGTCAAACTCATTGAAACACCTTCCTCCCCCCCCCACCAGTGTTTATGCTTCTTTCATATTCATTAAAACTTTTGCTTTTATCCAACAATATTTATGCTTACTTTGTGTGCTGCTGCAGATTCCTCCTCCTCCTCCTCCTCTTCC